GAAAGAGTGGAACAGAACTTTGTCAATTCAATAATCCAGTATCTTTGGGCAATCACAAAAAACCATTCATATGCAAAACCTTTATGCCAGTGATAGCAAATACAGAATTTAAGAATTTTTTACAAGATGAGTAATGAGATTTCTTTCTCAAATTCAAACTTGGTGGCTATATTCCTGCATATCTAAAATCACTTTACATGCTAATTTTATTTCAACAGTCTACACTCCTCGCTAGATTTCCATAGCCCTTCAGACTATGAAAGAATTCAATTTGTATGAACTGAGAACCCAGTATCCTTTAATAATCACACTTGTTTCTGCCCCTGAAGCTTGTGTTATCAGGTCACGCTGTCAACTACTAACTAGAAAAACATTATTTGCTTTCTTTTTCTAAAAATGCCTCTGTCATTTTATATAGACTCTTTGTTGGCCTAAAGATAGACAGAAGACATTGCCTGTCTGTTTTACTTCCTGAGCACACATCTTCAAATGTGAATTACAATACAGAAGGTTATTGCTCACTATTCAGGCCATCTCACAATGACATCAAGGACACTGAATTTGAACATTTCTAATAGATTCTGACCACAGCCATGATCACAAAGATTAGGTTTGCTTTAAACCGATAAAGCAGCTCATTTTTATGTTCTGTTACCTTCAAGCCTTGTAAGTAGCTGCAGTGCTTTTGGCTGGGATGCCATTAAATTTCTTCAGAGTTCCTTGTATAATGCTACGTTTTATATATGTGATGAAAACAGTATTAATAACACCAGGGTGGTTTAGTTATTGCTAGGCAGTGCTCACACAGCATCAAGGCTTTTTCTGTTTCTCACACTGCCCTACCAGCGAGTAGGCTGGGGATGCACAAGAAGCTGGGAGGGGACACAGCTGGGACAGCTGACCCCAACCAACCAAAGGGATATCCCACACCATACAATGCCATGCTCAGCAGTATAAGCTGTGGGGAAGAAGGAGTCAGTCCAGAGTTATAGTGTTTGGCTTTCCAAATAACTCCTATGAGTGCTGAACCCCTGCCTGCCCATGGGAAGTAGCAGATGCTTTATTTGCACATACAACTTTTGCTTTACCTATTAAACTGTCTTTAACTCAGCCCACGTGCTTTTGCACTTTTACCCTTGTGATTCTCTCCCCTATTCCTCTGCAAGGGGAGTAAGAGAGCAGCTGTGTGTGGCTTAGATGCCTACTGGGGTTAAACCATAACAGCAGCACAACCTCGGTATCCCCCAGCAGTCCTACCTTATTATACCAGAGAGCAGACTTTACTTCAAACAAACATTACTTTAAAGGCTGCAATCTGTATGGAGAAATAATGATTAATTCACCTATTATTTTTGAACAAGCCTATTTCTAACAGATGGGTATTTCTCTGTAATTAGCAGCTCCTCTGAGAAGACAACAAATAATTACAATAAACAACTTTGTCACTACTTAGTGTTAAAAATAATTAATCATTATACTTAAATGCTGGGTTTTAGTTTAAAATTGTAAGGTTTTTTTTTCCTGTAGATTTTTTTTTAAATTAGTATTAGTGAAAACACTTCTTCATAAGTAAGGACTACCTGTATGAAAGTTGTCACCCAAGATTTGCAGATAAACACCCTGAAATGTTCTTAGGATTACTTAGGTCAGCTTAGGAGAGCATTAACTCTGGAGCAAGTTACATACTTGAGCTATTTTTGGCAATTTAGGAGTTCAACCAAGGACAGTACAAGATATACTGCAAGTATGTAAACAGCAAGCTATAAAAACACAGAGCACCTTTTTGTTTTCCCATAGTGATTAAGACCATCATGCAATGCAAACAGAGTCTGTCAGCTTTCCAGAACTTGTTCATTCCGTCCTCTCCCTTGCAGAAAATCTGATCTTTAATTTGTTTATCCTCATAACATGGGTGGACAACCCAAAACAAAGAGGAAGAGTCTACGAGCTGCTTCAGTTTGAAAGAGTAGCAGCTCCTCTCATAAATCACACACTTCAAAGGCAGAATTTTGACTACAGTCCCGGGAGAAGAACATTACATACTCACCACTGCTATCATTTAACATAGCAGATTTCAGTATCAGCTGCACATGTATTTATGAATTGATGAATATATCCATCAAGTCCTTGAGAAGTTATTAAATCAGAAGACCTCAAAGTATCTTACAATGCCAGCACTCTGGGCTTGATCTTGCTTTTGAAGAAATTTAAGGAAGACGTGAAATAATTCACCTAAGATCACCAGCAAGTTGGCTGCACAGCTCAGCCTGTGCCCCAGATCAAGGCTCAGTTTCATGCACCATTGCTTCTCAGATACCCTTTGATGAAAAACCTGTGGATGTGGTTTTCAGAAACCGTCCACTCTGTTCTACATCTTGATGCTCAGAAGTGCTAAGAAATTGAGGCACCAGAGAACTTCAGAGAATCAGAGTAGTGGGTGCTTGAATCTCCCCTGCATGTGCAGAGCTGAGCAGCCGTGCTGAGGAACCAGGAAGCTG